TCAAAATGCTGCAGCCCGTCTTTAGACTGGCACTGGTCGATTTGATCATATCACTCCAGTTGTTGTCTCTGCATTGGATCCCAGTTCAGTTCTGTGTTCAATTTAAGATTTTGGTTCTGGCCTACAAATGGCCTTGTTCCTAGCTCTTTATCTGGAATTCTAGTGCCATATATCCCATCTTGTGGATTAAGGACAGCTGACCTAGTGAGCAGAACTAACTGTCATCACAAGCTGCTGATCTAGCAGCATGATGCTCATTATTATTTTATGGGTTACAGACGAGTGTTGATGCTCTGTGTTTTTATTTCTGCAGCGAGCCTTACAATCTCACCTCTTTCCACCCACAGGGTGCGTCCGAATCCACAGGCAGGATGCTTATGAGTACGGGTTCTCGCCGGTCTAGAAAGGCTGGGTCCTTGCCAGACCGCTGAGACCTGAACCCGCTGACGTCGTTAGGTCCGTTTTAGTTTAAAATAGTTTAGTTTAAAATAATCACAAGCCCCCCTATCATTTTGGTTTATTTTATTAAATTTTTTTCAGTGAACTTTTTTTTATTTGTTCACATCTACATGCTCAACACAATCACGACGTGTAGTTGGTACATGAGTTTTTTAGTCTGAAACAGAAATAATAATTAATGAATATAGAACTACACCGTCGCACACAGGAAGTATCAAGAAAGGACTTCCTCCACTTCCCGCAGCTTTGTTGACAAGTCAGGGGGCGGGGCGATACAGCAAAACCTATATATCGTTGAGCAAACCCTGCTCAGCGCTCATGTAAGTCACTCAACATCACATTAGGGTAAGACAGCAACAGCAGCACACCGTTAATATTTCAAGGTTATAGTTCAGACTTCAGAGAGAGGAAAATGCTACCGCACCGACATGCTAATGCTAACTCCGCTAGCATGTTTACATGCTTCAAACCATAATGAAAAGCTTTGATGTCAAGTAAAATGGTCGGAAAACTCCCCTGAAGTGACATGATTAACGAGCCAGCCAATTCATTGAGTGACTTAGTGCCACCAACTTGAGCGTACAGAACCTGCTCTGTGCTTGTGTGCAGCAGCTGCAGCCCTCTCTGTGGGCTCAACTCTGTCTCTGCGCATGCAAATCTCTCCCTGCTCTCCTCAACAAGTAGCCTCTCCAACAGTCAATCACAGACAGCTCTGTTTTATCCAATCAAAGCATGTCCAGGAAATACTGCTTTACAGAAAAACACCCATTTAACAGCTTATTGAACTGCTTTCTGCTGCTGGTTAGCTACCAGTCACCATCCACTGCCTGCAAAATAATTTGTTGTAATTCACGTGTCATGATTAGGGTGACCATATTTGACTTCCAGAAAAGACACATTGCCTATTCCTAAAACTGTTAAATTGCACTCTTTTCAGTTAAAGAGGACTTTTAATTTCACCATATAAAGTGTTTCTTCTCTGTTTGGTTAGGCATAAATGATCCCTTGATGTGTTAAAGGAAGTGAACAGTGGAAATGTCCCAGGAAAAGAGGAGGGTTAATCAACCTAATTAAATATAATTATATAAAGTCCTCTTTATCTGAAAAAAGTGCAATTTTCCTGGCAGTATTTCCTGGACATGCTTTGATTGCATAATGGAGAGCTGTCTGATTGGCTGACGGAGAGGCTACATTGCTTTAAAAACTGCTAATTGAGAAACAACAGGGAGATTTGTGCAGGCAGAGACGGAGTTGAGCATGCAGAGAGAGGGCTGCATATGACTGCAGAGCAGGTTGTGCTCTTGCAGATTGATCACTGCACGCTCCAGTTGGTGGCACAAAAATCACTACACACTAAAAACCTGAATCAGAATATGGCCGAATGTGTCTATTATTGACCATTTTTCTATATTATATATTTTTTCTATTATATATATATATATATATATATATAATATATTATAGGTACATATATGTATCTATAATATAGTAAACAGCCAGTTTTATATATGTCACATATATTCAAAAGCTACATCAAAACATATATTAAAACCTATATGTTTATGACTTCTTTCCATGTGGGTTGTCAGTTGCTTAATATTTCCTATGTTTACCTATGGGAAAGAAGGGAGATATTGTACTCGTCTAACTTTAACATAAATGTTGGCAGCTTAATGTGACATTATGGAAAATGCCATCATCATGAGCAACCAAACATAGGCTATATTAGGCTAACAGTTGTCCATATTCTGTCCCATTTATCCACCAATGGCTGTTTCAATTATAGTGAGTGAAAACTAAATGGCATGGTAGCATTTGTCTTGGCATTAGAAATTGAAAATGTTTTTCAATGTGTTGGCTAGATGGCTAGATGGATGGCTAGATGGATATACGAAGATTTTTTAAGAGAGTGAGTGAGGAACAGGAGAGAGACCAGGTGGTTGATGCTGAGGAGATCTGCATGGTCAAGGTCAGTGATCTACAGCGAAAACAGGGGGCCTGAACCCAACGGCTCTGAATTCGGACGTTCTAGCCTTCACCTCTACATTGGCCCGTAGGTCCCGTCACGCAAAGGAAAAATGCTAAAGCTAGCGAAAATTGAGCAGGAGCTACAGCAGCTTCATGTCCATCAGCAGCGTTGGTTCACAACCGTTTTCAGGTAAAGTAACTTTGTTTGTTCTAGAAGCTTTCAGGACTTACATGTTAACTTAAGATGGTTTAATGTATGTTTTAAGCTACAGAATGAACTTGTTAAACATATACAACACATTTCTACAGAGTATTATCATGTAGGTAATTGTTATAAACCAAATGCATTATAAATGTTGAATGCAGTAGGATGTTTTCTAATGTAAATTGGACCTTAGAACTTATTTTGCATCAAATGGGAATAAAAGGCTTAAAAAACAGGCTTTTTAATCAAATAGCACTGAAGTGTTTTCAATGTGCATTTGTTTATTCAACTTAAGCCTAATAATGATTAGATCTGTCTTAAAAATGTAAATTCTCTGTAGTTTTCCCTGCTGCTTTTCTTTAAACTGAACAGAATCAGTGTACTGCAGGTTATGTTTTGTTTTACATTTTTCAATTAAAAAAACTCTTTTAATCTATTACAGGTCAGCATGCACTGTGCTGCACAAATGCCTCTGTGCTGGTGAAGTTGTGGGTCTGGAGGATGAGCGTGAAGATGATGTGTGTGGAGGAGGTCAGTGGTGCTCTGTCCTGGAGGAGGTACCAGCATACCAGCAGACCACCACTACTGTTAACAGGCAAGTCATTCACAGAGATGTAACAGCCGTCGTCTGAGCCAGCCCAGCAGGCCCTGTAGATGGACGATGGAGTGGACAATGAGACGAAGCGTCCCAAAGCTCTCTCTGCAGACCGTCATGTGTGATGTTCCTCTGACCAGAAACGTCCAGCCACGGGTCTGCTCCAGCCCTCCATCCATGTCTGGATCCTCCTGCAGCAGATCCAGCTGCACTGTTAAAGACTTCCTGCTCACTCAGTTTAAATATATGATCCAGGAAGAGTCACTCAGGTTATTCCTGCTTTAACCTTACAAAACTGGTCCATACTGGTTTTGATCTGTAAATATGTGTAACGTATTATAAATAATCTTGTCTCCTTACCATATTTTCATTTTCTGTTCATGTAACATGTTCAAAAAACATCTGTAATAATAAAACTGGTGATAAAATCAATGACCAGAAAGTTATTAGTATTTGTTTTAATAAATGTGTTCAAATATCAAACAGCTAAATAACATTAACATGATGACAGTAGAAGGCCTCTCTCCCAGGATGACCAACAGGTAAATCCTCTCCTGACCCTGGACACCTGCAGTCCTACAGAGAATGTCAGACCACAGGTGACAAAAAAGCAATAAACAAATTTTTACATTCATCCACATGAGAAGATAAAAATTATATTCTTCACACAAACACTTTTTACTTAATTAAAACGTGTCAGCTGTGTAAATCCCTGAATGTAAAACTACTTTTCACAGAAGAACTTCTGTGGTTGTGTGTAAACAGCTTCACTCTTCACTTCTAAGCTTAATAAAAACGCTTCTTTGCTCCATTGTCCTTAAAACAAATGACAAGTTTAATTCGCCACATACACCCACCCACACACACGGGAATAACTGGGACCTGCGAAACAATCTCGTTCTGGCTGATTTCTGCCTAAAATGTAATTTAAAAAACAAATATACAAACGAAAAATGTCTATAAACTGAACCGCTTTAAGCTTTTTAGGTTTCTACGGCTAGTTTTTAACAAACTTACATTTAAAACTTCATAGCTCTCCCCATTTTCTCTTTCTGTTGAAAATCCACAGCCGGCGCGCAAAGCATGCTAGGATAGCCTTGTTCTGTGAGGATACAACAGACCCGTCCTCGAAATGTGGGCGGAGCGAGGACGCCTTTGAGGATGCGAGAATGAGTATTCTTGGAATTCAGACAGTACTCGTTGCTGTGCTGTGACGTCATAAACCTCAAAATGCACTCTTACAAGCATCCTTCCCGTGGATTCGGACACACCCACAGTTTCTTCTTAAAACACATATTACATTTATTGTTTTGACGCATTTTAATGAGCTTCCTCCACGCCGTGATTTCGTTGTAGGATACAAACTTTACAGCACTCTCACGGAGTAAAGGTTCGGCAGATATGTTTATATTTTTGCCCCTGCGCGCCTACAGTGTTTGGGAAAGGAAGGCAGGGCCGACGTGATGCTGCTGTCAGGGAATCTCTAGGCTCCACAGTAGCAGCGACGGACGGCTGGTTTGACCGGCTCTGAGAGGCGTAAATCAGAATTTGCAGATAGCGTTTTTTTCTTCTACCAATCGCAGTGATGTCTGGACTTAAAAGCAACTCATTAGACTGATAGTTATTTGTTAAAGTAATGCATTACCATAAATAGTAATGTGTTTACCAAAATTTGTTATGTATATTACTGATTGCAAAAACACCCCTAAGTCTTTTGTCTTGTCTTTTTACTGAATATTTTTCTTTTATATATTTCTGCTTGGTTCACTGCAGTTTTAAGGAAGAGAGAAGAGACGGATGAGAAACCTCTGCTCTTACATTTCCACAACCATCAAATGAAAGACGGAGGTGTCCCAACCAGCAGTTTGGCTGGGCAGATGACAGCAAAAGTTGGTGGAGGAGCAGAAACTAGCAAGAACCTAGATCTGGATCCTAATCAAAAGACATCAGATTCTTCAGAGATTGAAGTTGGTGGACAAGATGAAGACGATGTGAATCTAGACTCTGAGCGTTCGGACTCTGGGCCTGAAACTGGAAACGGAGACCATGGCTGTAATGAGAACAAGTCTTCGGAGTCAGATATTAAGACAGTCAACAAATCATTTAGCTGCCCTGTGTGTGGTATAAGGTTCCTCCACCAGTGGTCCCTTCAGGAACATGTGAGAGTGACAAGTCATTCAGCAGTAAAGTCTTCAGAGTGTTTGGTTAATACAAAATGTGTGAAAGAGAGGCAACATGGAGGCTCATGTAGAAAAGTCCAGAAACAACCGAAATCATTAAGTTGTGATGACTGTGGGAAAAGATTTAGCCATAAAAACAGTTTAAACACACACATGGGAGTCCACACAGGAGAAAAGCCTTTTGCATGTGAGCTCTGTGGACAAAGATTTAGCCGGAAAAATAATTTAAACACACACATGAGAGTCCACACAGGAGATAAGCCATTTGCCTGTGAGCTCTGTGGATACAGATGTACCCAAAAGGCAAGGTTAAACGATCACATGAGAGTCCACACAGGAGAGAGGCCTTTTGCCTGTGAGCTCTGTGGACAAAGATTTAGACGGAAAAATACTTTAAACACACACATGAAAGTCCACACAGGAGATAAGCCATTTGCCTGTGAGCTCTGTGGATACAGATGTACCAAAAAGTCGCATTTAAACGATCACATGAAAGTCCACACAGGAGAGAAGCCTTTTGCCTGTGAGTTCTGTGGATACAGATGTACACAAAAGGTAACTTTAAACAATCACATGAGAGTCCACACAGGAGAGAAGCCTTTTGCTTGTGAGCTCTGTGGACAAAGATTTAGACAGAAAAATAATTTAAACACACACATGAGAGTCCACACAGGAGAGAGGCCTTTTGCCTGTGAGTTCTGTGGATACAGATGTACACAAAAGGTAACTTTAAACAATCACATGAGAGTCCACACAGGAGAGAAGCCTTTTGCCTGTGAGCGCTGTGGACAAAGATTTAGTCAAAAAAATAATTTAAACACACACATGAGAGTCCACACAGGAGAGAGGCCTTTTGCCTGTGAGCTCTGTGGATACAGATGTACCAAAAAGTCACATTTAAACAATCACATGAAAGTCCACACAGGAGAAGCCTTTTGCCTGTGAGCTCTGTGAATACAGATATACCCAAAGGGCAAGTTTAAACGATCACATGAAAGTCCACACAGGAGAGAAGCCTTTTGCCTGTGAGCTCTGTGGACAAAGATTTAGCTTGAAAAGGCATTTAAACTATCACATGAGAGTCCACACAGGAGAAGCCTTTTGCCTGTGAGCTCTGTGGACAAAGATTTAGCCAAAAGACAAATTTAAAGAGACATACGAGCATCCACACAAGGCTCGAGGGATTTATTTAACAACAGTGCTTCCAAATGTACTATTTAGTTTTTTACAACCTTAATATTAGCCTTGTACCTCTGCTCAACTATCGTTCATCAAGTCCGTACTCGGCCCTTGAGCCACCTCTTCTTTTCATTTTATTTTTCAAATCTCCTTCGTTTTTTTAAACTCAGACCTTAACCAAACATTTGAGATGTTCATTCATGAATTCTGAATACAAAAAAAGATTATTTAAAGATTAAGAAATAACTGTTACACCCTCCTGTATTTAAGAAACAGACAAGGTAACAGACACTTGATGGTTTTAGTACATAACCCACTGCAATTTAAAGCTGTTCGATACCGGTGGCGTCTGCTTTAAACAATTTATATGTATATAATATAATAGCATACAATGTTGAAATAACTGCAGCTTAAAAATAATGTGCCATCTTTATTCATTTGGAGCCCCTAAGAAGAAATCCCACCTTAAAGGCTGTGGAGAGACAGCTGGGTGTATTGTCAAGAAGTCATAAGTTACAAGGTGGCTCTGTGGAGACTCCATTCTCCTACAATAGCATTTTGCTATTCTAAGCAGGCTTAGGAATGTGCCTGTACCAGAGTTTTTAGAGATGCTGTTGTAGAGTTATAAGCAGTGGACAGATGCTGGAAAGACAGAACCACTTTTGGGCTGCATGGTTCTCTACCAGTGTACCGATGCTTGTATTAACATGGACTAGATTGTAATAAACTTTTTTAACTCAAACTTTGCCATGATTGAATCATAGCACTCCAAGAAACAGCTCAGCATGAAAATTAACCACATTCCCTTTATTTCTGGTGACACAACTAAGCACTGCTGGTGGACAATTAATCACAGACACTTAGCCAGTTTAACTCGTCATATGAAAGGCCACACCTGGCAGAAGCTTTTTGCATGTGACCTCCGTGGACAAAGATTTAGCCTTGTAATGATTCAGTAGTTACATCTTACGTATGAACCATAGAATGTGAAATTCCATATAAATATGAAATCTCAATCTGATGGATCTTGGAATATTACTTTAACCAGAAGATCGGAACTTTTTATTGTAGGGATTAGATAACACTTCGTATTAACCAAGAGTCAAAGGAGATAGAGAGACCAGTTTTAAAAGTTTCAAAAGATTTATTTCTAAACAATTTAAAATAGGCTAACTAACTAAACACTCTGTGTGATGGATGGATCTAGGTGTGAATGAAGCAAGATGGTGGTGTGATGTGGAATGTTGTTATCAGAACTCTCATTTTCGGAGAAGCGTCAGTTCTGTGTGGGAGCGAATGGGTTACTCTAAACTACATTCAGAGTTTCAAAAACACCTTCAGACGCTATCTTGTCGTTCTATATACCCTTGCGGAGACCTCCATGGTAGATCCAGAATGCCAGGTCCTCAGACCCCCTTTTGGTACAGAAACCGATGAAACAGCGTTCGGTACGACAGACTAGTCTTTGGAATGCCTCCAGGTAAGCGACAGGTGGTTTACAGCATCAACAGGGACCCAGCCGGGTCAGTGAGTTCAGCTCTTATTCTGAAGGACGTTGCATTCAGATGTAGCTTGCAACAGGTTTTGTTATCCAGCCTGTCAAGGTTCTTGTTGTTAAAAAGTGACGAGTGGCTGGCTCAAAACTCTAGAACGTTGAACTTAGTTAAGGGTGACGTGGGAGTTTGTTTTATAATCCAGATGTTTTGATTTATGGTCGAATCAGAATTTGATAAACACACACAAAGCCATGCCACGCCAGGCTGGATAGCTGTACCTGGTAGACCTTAATTACTGGAGGTAAAAACACAGACGGCCATCTTTCTCCTGCTTGGGTTGAGAGAGCTCACACCCGTTTATTGTCCACAATTAACTTAAATAGTCTCCAGGTGCACGCAGGCACGCACAGATCACGCGACGTCATCTCCACAAATCATGTGACATGCCTTTGCTACAAACAATACGTCCAACACTCCCACTCAAAGACATGCACATTGACTCCCCATTGTACCAAACGAAAATGATTAATACACACAACACAACCTTAATAACAAAAATAGAAGAACAGGCTTAACCTTCTCTATGTTCTCTTGTTTTCCCTTTTTTCTTCTTTTCTTTTTTTTCTTCTTTTTGTGTGTATCTTCAGTACATCACATTAGTGTTCCCGTTTCGCATTAATATCCAAACAAGTACTCTTTAAAATTCTCAAACTTTGTTTTTGGTACTGGCTTTGTAAATTTATCTGCAACCATGTTTTCTGTAGAGCAATACTCAATGTTTATATCTCCCTGATTGTGTGAAGATCATACAAAATGATATTTAATATCTATATGTTTACTTCTGTTTGGTTACTGGGTTTTTGGATAATGCTATTGCTCCCTGGTTGTCTCCATATATTCTGGTAGGTATGTGTCTGTTACCACTGTCTATCCCTTTCAGTAGTTGTACAAGGTGCATGCTCTCTTGTGTTGTGGCGGCTAATGCCATGTACTCGGCTTCACATGTTGACAGTGCAACTGTAGGTTGTTTTCTACTCTTCCAGGATATAACTGGACCCTTAGTGCTTCTTCTGTCATCTTTGTCAGCTGCCCAATCGGCATCACTGTATCCTTCGAGTTTTAAGTTATGGTTATTTTTGGTAAAATGCAGTTCTTGATCAGAAGTCCCCTTTAAGTACCTCAAGAGATGTTTAGCTGCCGTCCAATGCTGTTGTCTTGGTTTTGCTAGACTCTGACAGTTTACTCACTATCCAGCTCAAGTCAGGTCTAGTACTTGTCAATGTAGATCAGGCTACCTATAATTTTCCTGCATCCTGAGGGATCAAGAACCTCACCCTCAGCGTTCAACTGCAACTGCTGCTCACATGGGGTGGCTCTTGGCTTACAATCCGACATTCCAAACTTCAACAGCACTTTTTCTATATGCTTCTTTTGAGACATTTTAATCTCTCCCTTATCCCGTGTGAAGTCGATGCCCAAGAAATGCAGAAAGTAGACCAATGTCCTTCATCTTAAACCTTGATTTCAACATAGCTTTCACATTGTTGAGTACAATATCATGACTTGCAGCTATAAGCAAGTCATCTACCCACACTAATATAATGACCTTGCCATTCTCTGATTCCCTGTGATAGACACAATGATCAGCATCATTATGAATAAAACCATTTTCCATCAGGTACTCGTGCAGTAACATGTTCCAGTTACGACCCGATTGTTTTAAACCATACAATAATTTTGTTTAGTTTACATTCCAGATGTTGTCCTGACTTTGATTTCACCTCAAAACCCTCTGGTTGCTCCATAAATACTTCACAGTCCATTGGAGCATGGAGGTAAGCAGTTGTCACATCCATCTGGTGTAGCACACGATCCTCCTGCACTGCCTCCTGCAACAACGCTCGAACAGAAGTCATACTTGCTGTTGGTGAGAAAGTTTCTTTAAAGTCAATTCCATCTTTTTGTCTATATCCTTTAGCAGCATATCTTGCTTTGTGACACTCTGATCCATCTGGGTTTTCTTTTACTGCATACACCCAACAACCTCCCACTGCTTGTTTACCTTCTGGGAGTGGTGTCAAAGTAAAAGTATCATTCTCCTTTAAAGAAGTCATTTCCTCTTTCATTGCATTTTCCCATAGTCTTGAGTTCTTAGAGTCTATGGCCTCTATTTAAGTTATAGGTACACCATAAATAACTTTATAGAAATAATCCACGTCTTCACATTCATCATTACATACAGTCTTACACTGGTAGTCTTTCAAATAGTCAGGTGCTTTCCTTATTCTGGTGGGGTACCTCTTTTCAGCTCCTTGATTGTCCTCTGATATAGTGGGTTCTGTCTCCGTCACCTCCTCAGCATCTGTCTCATCCTCAACATCTGTCTCATCAGCCTCGTCAGGTTGTACTTCCTCCTGAATGTCCCTCTTGGGTGTGTATTCAAAAATCTCAATGTCATTTCTCATATTGTTGCCAGTCCCCACATGCCAAAGACAGTGGCAAGCTGAAACACACTGAACTGGCTTATGCGAGTAAAATCAGCCAGAAGACAGGAGCCCAGCTGCACATTAGGGCTGCAACAACGAATCGATAAATTCGATGAAAATCGATTACTAAAAGCATTGGCAACGAATTGCGTCATCGATTCGTTGTGTCGCACAACTCTTCCAAAAGCGCCCCCCCCTTCCCGCCCGCCGTTGCGCGCAGACCAGAGCAAGTCAGATCAGCGCGAGGGAGAGCCGCAGATCAGCGCGAGGGAGAGCCGGCAGATCAGCGCGAGGGAGAGCCGCAGATCAGCGCGAGGGAGAGCCGCAGATCAGCGCGAGGGAGAGCCGCAGATCAGCGCGAGGGAGAGCCGGCAGATCAGCGCGAGGGAGAGCCGGCAGATCAGCGCGAGGGAGAGCCGCAGATCAGCGTGAGGGAGAGCCGGTACCGGCAGATCAGCGCGAGGGAGAGCCGGCAGACTTGCGCTGCTGCGAACCGGTTCCGCATTGTTGCACAGCGATCCAGGCAGCTGCTTCCAGCGGTCCATTCTCAAAGTGGCGCAACCAAAAAACTATAATTAGCACACGATCGTTCATGTCCGCACATGTTCTCTATTTTCTGTCTTATTTGTGCCTGAAGCGCGCTACTGCGGAGCTCATCACCTGTGCTGTGGTGATGTCACCTCACGCAGCATCGAAAACGCGCTCTGCGCTTTTCGGTCAGGAGATCCCTTTTACCTGCTCAAAAGTAACTGATGAGGTGAAAAGGTAAGAATCCAGGCAACAGATTTTCTGGAGAATTAAGAGGAGATGCAGGAAGATGAGAGACAGACAGGACAGGAAAATAGTTAAATAAAAACAAGAAAACAAAACAAAGTGTTGAAAAGTAAAATGCAGGTAGAGTTATCACCACTACACGTTTTTACCAGTAAAAAACAATAAGTTATACACATGTCATATTTATACATCTGATACAATTCAGATCACCTTCAAAACTCAGTCACACACCCAGGGCCGTTTCAAGACATTTTGGGGGCCAAGGCAAAATGCCCCCCCCCCCCCCCCCCCCCCCCAAATAACTGGGCTCCCCAGAAGCCTCTGTGTAATTCATGCCCTCTCCAGTAGTGTTAGTTATATGGTGTTTATAAAAGCCCCTCAGACATTACTGACATGTTCTAATATTATCAGATGAAAAACTAAATGATCAGACATGCTGTCTCATCTGCTTCTTTTATAAACTTGCAAAAAGTAACAAAACCATTTGAAAGCCACTATTTGTGGATTCTCTGAAAGTTTCCATGGAGTTTGTGACAACTTATTTTTTCATTGATCCTATCGTCTAATCTCACAGCTGAAACAAGCATCCTTAATAATCTGTGCACAGGAAGCTTACCGATGCTGTAGTAAAACAAAAAGTATAATAATTTATTATTAATAAAACCTTGTTGCAGCACTAAAGCAGAAAAATTAGATTTTGCATTAAATATGCAAAATATTTACATATGAATTGTTTTAGAGCCCTTTAATTGGCAGTATCTGATATTAATTTAGTTCTTACAAAAAATGGGTCCCAACATGGTTTGTGTGGCGTTGCCATAGTGTGACGTCATAGGCACAGATCCCCTGTCCTCTTGTTTGGAAATGGAAATATGGTCACCCTACATTAAACAAACTGTCCACCCGGGCTTTTGCACTGCACAGAGACGCTTCGCTGCCTACGACTGAACGTCAGTTGAGAGTCAGTCTCATGCAGACTGACCAATGAAGAGAGGGCCTCAAGTTAAGACCCTCTCCTCATTGGTCAGTCCACACGAGGTGGGTCAAAGGTTACTCTGGGCGGGTTACGTGTTGTCAGGCATTCAAGTATTGAGTATATTTACTGCATATTACAGTAAAATATTCTGTATGTGACCACATTATGGTGATCCTTGGGTCGTGATGATGGAGCCCTTGAATATTGTTGCCCAGGGTACAACAAAGTGTTAATCTGGCCCTGGTTCCGCCGTCACATTCCCGCAGAAACTGGTTGATCACACCGGGGCCAGACTACTAGCATGTGGTTTTACAACCACAATGTCCTCAGAAGCAAAAACGCTTTTAAAAGGGAGGGAGGAGTCCTAACTGTTGCTGCAGGCGTGTTGTGTGAGAGTGCAGTTATATACTGGTTAATATATTTTTGGGTTCAGTTGCTTTCATGTGGCCTAATGTGAGTCTATTTGGGATCATTGGAATGATCAGCAGCATTTCTTGATGTGACTTTATGGCAGTTGCCCAGGGCATCATCGCAAGGAGGATGGCATTCATTTACTTTTGTTTTATTTGGTATTTTTCCAGTCATTTTTGGAAATAAAGATCAATTTTGATTAATTCACAGCCTATGTTTAATTACATTTAAAATAAATGTCAACAGATGAGATCAAACAAAACAGATGAGAATTGCCCTTAAGCTGTTTAACTTGGACCAAGCATTTTAGGTCACAGATAGATGTAGCTTAGGGTCTCTGTCTATACACCTTATAAGACAATTTAGGTGATGGCATGTTGTTTTTCTGCTATTGAACTGTTTTCTAATAATGTTGTGTTAAATAAAGTGAAGGAA